CTCCTTTTCCTAAATCTTATAAAAACTTTAATATATATATAAAATATAACATAAATAAAGTAACATGGTATAATTTATGTTATTACCAATTTTTAAAAATTGTGTACACAGTTTGGTTGTTGTTCACACCAGGGTATCGCTGTGTAGCTCATGCTGGCCACCGACTTCTGCCTTACTCTCCTGCATGCTGCGATGGCAGGCGTGCTCCGTCATGCTCAGCCAGACACTTTTTTGGTTGTAGATGTTTTATGACTGAAAGATAAGCACTTGTCAGGACAAAGTCTCCTTGGTGTTGTTTTCATATATGCAAATGAAGAAACTCCTCTTTACATGAAACTGTGTGCCAGGAGACCTCCAGGCACGGTGGTAGAGAGGCAGGGGGATCATCTGGCAGTGTAGACGGATGGAGAAAGACCCTGGATGTGCTGGGAGCAAGATGCTGCACAGCTGCCTCTGCTCCCCACCGAGGGGCTCGGGAGGGGCTGAGGGTCTGTGAATCACTGCTTAGTAAGGACATGATTCAGTAATTGAGCAGTTTCCGCCCTTCCATCTGTCCAGAAGGTATTGATGTTACTCCAGGCTGCAAAGAATCTAGTGAGTACAGCCTTTATGTGGAAGGTAAATCCTGTACATATTACAGACTAAATGGAAATGGTATCACTAAAAATGAGAAATATAAACAAACAGTAAACAAAACAAGCCAAGGTCCAGGAGAACGAGTGTTGATAGAATTCTCTAGGACCTCATGGGAAGGTTTTCAATATTTGGACATAAAGTAATGCAACATAGGTATGGGCTACAGCATTGAGGTGCAGCATTTCCTCAGCTTAGTAAGGCCTGGGATCCACCCCCATTAAATAAGCACCTGCATTAAATAAGCAAATGTAATAAATCAAAATTATTGATTTTATTGATTATATAGACACTTTCCTAAACATTTTAATATTTCCATTTTACAAGTGGAAATAAAAAAAACTGGCATATGAAGGTGCCAATGGGCAGACGGTTCAGTGGTTAGTTCTCTGGGTGGGAGCCATTTCCTCAGCATCCTTAAGGACTATAACACCCCTGGATGGCTGGAGCTTAGGAATCTATTTTTCTCTGTTAGAGAAGGTGGTGCAGTTAGACAGATTCCCTCAACTGTAGAGACAGCCAGAAAGGCAGATCCCTGAGATGGAGGCTCACACAAAGCTTTGGAGAACCTTTTGTGATGCAGATTTGTATTAGGAAAGTCCTCTGTCCCACTGCCAGTGCAAGGACTCAATCTCACAAACAGGAGAGTTGACCTACACAGTGGTTGGCTACTGCCTGGTACTTAGCACCCATCTGTTGCCAGTCTGCCATGCTGGTCTCCCATGCTGTGCCCACCTCAGCCAGAATACTGTGACCACGTGTTTCCAGAAGAGCCCTGTGACTGACACTTTGTGGTTTGCATTTCTCATAGCCTGTAGTGAGGGTGCATTCATTTAGCAACTGATGTGTTCAATACAGACACTCTGGACAGACATGCAAGCTGAGGAAAGCGGTGGATTTAGCTTGGCCTTTGACCTTTTACATAGAGGTCAGGTTGAGAGCTATGTGGAGTTCTGTAGTATTTGTCTCCCAGGGCCATAGAACATAGGCTGGTTTCTTGCTTTTACAACTGCAACCAAGGGTGCATTTCTGTGGAGAATAGTAAGCCAGAATTGTATCATGTTTTGTTTAGAATGCTTGCAGCTGAGTTACTGTTCCCGGAAATATGCCTTCCCAAGCCAGAAATGTATTTGGTATCTCTACTGGAAATTTTACTGTGTAAGACTGAAACTAACCATGAATTGTAGTTCACACTGCTTTCAGAAATTGTTCAGAAATGGTTTAGATATTAAAAACCATAACTACCAAATGATTCCAATTTTGTTGTTGTTGTTGTTTTCACGACAAGAATTACTTTTCTCTTTCTAAAAAGGCAAGATAATATTTGCCACCAGTAAGGGAGTTGAGGAGGAAGAGCAATTGCAAAAGCATTGATTTTATTAAACTAAGAGGATCCATCCATTCCTAAAGTCATTAGGAGTAATGTTAGGTTGAAGAATGGCAACACACAGAGTCAGTATTAAAGCTGCTTTAGTGTTGTAGCCTAATGCATGTTCTCAGTAATCGAAACATCTGGGTGAAACACAACAGTGGTTTCTTTTCACACCTCTCTGGGTCAGAGTGGACAGCACTGTTGCTGTTTGTTGTGTGGCTCTTCTTCATCGTGAGTCCATATCTGCATCGTACTGCTCCATGTTGGTGCCCAGCAGCAGACCACAAGCAATGGCAAAAGTATACAAAGGGACAGGTGGATACGCTAGTTCTTTTTAAGACTGAGTGGGGGGCAACTGAATATTCCAGTCCGAAGACACAGGCAAGGAAGAGACACACCTGAAACTTAATGGTTCCCCTTAGGATCTTTCAACATTATGATGCAGAGCAGCACTCACACTCCAGTGTTCTCCCCTAAGGACAGTGTTGGATGTTATAAGGTTGTTTGTTATAAGGTGCACTTTGTGCTCAGGTTCTGAGCACATTTAATGCAGGCTGCAATAAGCTATGCTGTTTCACAGTTATGTGTAATGAGAATTATTTTTAACTGGGGATGGGTTCATTGAGCTATAACCCCATGGTGAGCTAAAGAGCATTTATATTGTCCGCTTTTTGTGGACAGATCGGCAGACTCATAGCAGAGAGCACAGACACAGGGCGGGAGGACAGGGAATTGGGAATCATTGCCTTTACTATGTCTCTGACTCATTTGAGAGACATTCTTTGTTATACCACATGTCTTTTTTTTCCTAAAATCTTATCATTCGGCACACCTGTTCTTTGCGTGCCGGTATACTGCCTAGTCCTTGTTGATGGTGCTATGCAAATGAGGTAAAATCTATCCGTGAAGTTAACAGGGTGCTTGAGAGCAGTCAATAAGAGTGCCCGAAGGACCCCTCATTTTATAAGAACTGTAAACATTTCAGTATTGTCAAAGATTTTTAAGTGTTATTAAAAAGCAATTAAAAATCTTGTGTTTGTAACACAAAAGAAATATTAAAGTTAAGGTGTGTGGGTTGGAGACCTCACGCAACAGTGCTGCTGAAATCACCTTGCGTTATTGGAAGGAAAGAGGCAGTCTATTCATGAATAGAAATAAAGGCTGGAATCATTTGACAGTTACACTTTTTAGTACCTAAAACATTTCCTCAGGTGTGTGAAGCTCTGGATTCTGTCTCCCAATACTAAAAAATTTTTGTTGGTCAAGTTCCTTTAGATTTAAGATTAACCATTAAAACACACTAATTACATAGTTTTATGAACAACTTGGTATTTCCTGATAAAAGTAAAAGTTGGAATAATTTTTCACGTAAGCATGATGGATAAGAATATGGGCCGAGCCGGGCGGTGGTGGTGCACATCTTTAACCCCAGCACTTGGAAGGCAGAAGCAGGCAGATTTCTGAGTTCGAGGCCAGCCTGGTCTACAGAGTGAGTTTCAGAACAGCCAGGGCTATCTTAAAATATCCCCCCCCAAAAAAAAAGGGCTGAAATATCCGACTTGCTATTGCTGTTGTTCTCTCCTGAAGTGAGTGTGAACCAGAAGCTTTAGGTTTGATTGTAAATGAACAAAGGATGTTTGTTTTCATGGCCTCTCAGATGTAGCACATGATACAGGAGCAGGAAGGAGGAGGAAGCTTCCTGGAATACAGCAGTGACCAGTGGTATACTCTCTTTTGGGGATCTAATGTCACTCAATCTAATGTCACATTTACAATGCAAAGCAGTGGCACACAAATAGCAATTTGTAGCAGGCTAGGATAAAATATTCCAAATTACGATGGCTTGGAATTATGTTCTGTCCTCTTCACAGAAATCTTTACCACAGCTGATGATGCTCCCAAGTGCTTCCCATGTTTCTATCGTGCCTTTAGCCCCTGGTGACCTGATGAGGTGTAGGTTCCTGCTCTACTTGTTTACAGAGAAGGAAACAAGAAGAAAAAGTTCATAGGTTTTAGATTTTCTAAGATGCTGTATATTGCTTTTAAAGGAAATAAAATTAGGCTACAGAGATGTCTCAGTGGGTAAAGTGGTTACCACACAATCTTGAGGACCTGAGTTCAAACCCCCACAACCCACATAAAGCACATGTCTGTAATTCTAGCAACTCACACAGCAAGATGGGAAGTGGAAACAGATTTCCTGGAAGCTTGCAGTCAGCTAGTCTGATTTATGGGGTACACAGTGGTGAAGAGGGACTCAGTCTTAACATCAAAGATGAGGACCAGCAGCCAAGATTGTCTCTGACCTCTCCATAAATAATTATTAGTTCATACTCTATGCATGAACCCATACACACACATGATTATTCATGCATGCACCCATGCACAGATGCATGCATGTGCACATGCACATGCTTTAAAATAAGGAGATTGCACCGGCTTCAGTCCTGACAGTTTGCATTCAGCCTGGCATTCAGCATTTGGAAAACTGCTCTTGCAGGGCAGTTCTGTGCTGTAGTGAGAAGGCAGCTACAGACAATCCCTGTCATAAGTTGGGTCACTCAAAGTCTCTGAACCTGTTCCTTGTGTATAAAATAGCAATTAATATGTGTGGCCTGTATCTCAAAGCTCGCATTAGATTTGTTTTGCTCATTGCTGTGTCACCATTGTCTGGGACACCATCTGCCATGTGAATATTTGCTGGGCGGTGATGGTGGAGTGCACCTTTAATCCCAGCTCTATCGAGGTAGAGGCAGGCAGAGCTCTGTGAGTTTGAGGCCAGCCTGGGCTACAGAGTGAGTTCTGGACAGCCAGGACTATCCAGGGAAACCCTATCTCGAAAAACCAGAAGGGACAAGTGAAATAATGTGGTGGCCATTAGACAGGGGGCTTCTCGAATAGATGGCATGCATAGGACACAGGGCGGTGAGTAATATTAGCTGTGCCTTTGGTCCACACAGTCCCAATATTTTGACTTCCCATTTGCATTTCTCAGGGGCGTGCGTCTCTCACAGAAGAGAAAGAGGTGTTTGCCCAGGAACATGAAGAAATGAAGAACCTGGAAGCCATTGTTCGAAAGATAAAACCAACTGCCCTCATAGGTAAATGCTTTTCTACTCTTTTTCCTTTAATATGACCTAATTAGCATTGTTTTGCTTTTTAAAAATTCTAAACCTTTGGAATCCAGAAAGAAAATGGACACCCTCAAGTCGTGGGGTCCTCATAGGCACTGAGGTATAATTCAGTTCTGCCTTCCTAGTGTGTATTCCAGATCCGAGCTGAAGTCTGTGGCCCTGTGCTGTGTCAGCCTGCTGACATCTGCCACACTCAACCCTTTCCCAGGCTCCATTACGCAGGTAGACAGCCCTTCCTGAATGTGTTGAAAACTCACCCCCAGAACACTGAGATGGTTTTTAGTTGTCTTTAGTGTGAAGGGGATTGTGGAGGAAGAAAGGAAAGGAAAGAAAAGAAAAGGAAAAGCCCAACTGTAGTGGGTAGAGGTCTGCGATGGTGGTAGAAAGTCCTGTGGTGCACAGGATGGCCTTGCCATGAGGAATCATGTCCACAGTATACTAGCTATACCATGAGGAACCATGCCCACAATATACCACTCATGCTGAGATCCAGGGGCTCTGTCGTCCTTGAATACAGGGCTTGCACTTCACATATCATTCCATTCTTCCTCATGTTCTCAAGTAGTTTTTTGTGTGCTCAGTACAGTGTGTAGTGTGTAGTTGTGCGTGTTGCACATCCCTTCCATCGAATTCCAGCTTTGGGAAGTGGAGACGGGAGGACAGGACAGGAGCTCAGCCTGAGCTGTATGAGACCCTGCTTTACAAAAGCATAACATTCACATTCTGTGCTTCACATCTTGACGGAAGCTATGAGTTTGTTCCCTTTCTGTGTCTGTCTACTTTCAATCAGTCTGATCTTAGAAGCACTCTGCAATAGTTGACAGTAACGAGGATAAGGATCCAGAACACAAAGAACTTCACAAAGCCTCTAGTGTTGTCTTATGTAGCACGTTCTGCAGTTAACTTACTACCTTTCACCTTCCTTATGTTAGTTTGTTAGTTGCTTTACTCTGCTTCCAAGCGGTGGTTATTTCAGCCTCACAGTGGAATGAGGTGATAGTTAACATGGCCTTATAAAGACACAGTTACTACAGTCTACTCAGAATTGCTTAGAAAGAATGTATTAGACATGGTTTCATTTCCTGATAGAAACGCTTGTAACCACAGTTCCTAACGATTGGCTAGGACTTCTGGTTTGTGAGTCCTATGCCATATCTGGGATTTATAACGGCATTTGTTGATTTGTAGCCCTACAGATTATTGGCCTTGAGCAATATTGTTTCATCATTAGGCTCCAGTGTGAACATTCTGTGCTTTGTTTACGGCCTGTTAGAAATGAGCTGCCATATCTCATTGTTTGGGGGCCTGGGCCTTTTGGAAGAGGTAATCAGCGATACAGTTCTCATCCCCCATTTCTTGTTTCCTTCGTAGGAGTTGCTGCAATTGGTGGTGCTTTCACTGAACAAATTCTCAAGGATATGGCTGACTTCAATGAGCGGCCGATCATCTTTGCTTTGAGTAATCCGACCAGCAAAGCTGAGTGTTCCGCAGAGCAGTGCTATAGAGTGACCAAGGTGAGCAATCAAGTCGGTCATTACAGGAAGCTTGGGATGCTCGAGGCACTGATCACCTGCTCTTGACAGCAGACTTACTCCATTAGAACTGAAAGATACATGAAAGTTGACGCCCCTTTCTCATCTTCAGGAAACACATCAACTTTGTGTGTTTTTGTGACAGGATTTCTTGAGTGACTTGGAAAGAAAGATTTAAATAAAAAAAATTAAAGGGGAAGAATTTAGCTTTGGGTGGTTATGAAGATATCTTTAGCTGTTTCTAAGCACTGAAGCATACAAAATGAAACCACAGTTTAATTTTTGCTTAGCTAAATTTTGGGTTTGGATTTTGATGCCATGGGTGGAGGATCTGGGCAGCTCTGCTGATACCCAGCCAGACTGGCATGGAGTCCTCCGCGGCACTCAATACTTCGCTGTTTTAAAAATAAAAAGTTAATTTTATACTGTGTTTGTACTAACATATACTTGACTGATAGGTTGACAGAAGGTCTTTTGCTCTTCTCAAAGACATGAGAATGTCATAACAAAAATGAAATTTAGTTTTATGCATCTAAAACTTTTATTTTGGAAATACAGAGTAGAGAATGTAAACACAACACAAAGTTATGGTACTGTGTGCAAGCCAGAGCTTGAAAGCTCTCCTTTGTAATAGTGTTTCAAGCCTTCATCACTGGAGCTAATGATGTTTTTGACAAGGAGCCACTCCATGACTTTTCTCTCTTATCTGGGATGGCAATCAGTATCCTGAGTAATTTTAATTTTTATCTCATATACGGATTGAGTTTTCTTCACATTCTTCCATAGCTCTAAATCCACAAGGGAGAACACACGGCCCTTGAGCAGTAACCGAATTATAGTGTAGTCCTTGCACATAGGAGGCCCTGGATCAGCAAGTGTGTAATGAATTGTTTTGTTTCTGTGTATGTCAACAGTCCTTGTTAGCCTAGAGCTCCTGCCATACACATACATAACGTTAGGTCAGCTGTACTTAAAACTTTCAGTGTGTTGGAAGTAGATGGCCTCAGTTCTCTCTTAGATCTCACCTAATGTTCTGTATTGTGAAACAGTGAAAGTCACCAGGACACTGGACATTAAATTCTAACCTAGCATACCATCTTGAAAATTCTAGGAGTCCTCTTGACTTTATCTTCAGGCGTTTGCAGTTAGAAGTCTCTACAGATGTGGCTGCTAGGCTTGTGGTTGGACCACTGCAGAGAACAGAGTGGCAGCCTTAGGGAATCCTGTGCTGTGCCCATTCCTGGGCAGATTAATATAGAGAACAGTAAAAAGCACTCCATCCTGACCCCTTGACAGCACCAACAGCACAGCACCCGGGCTCACCAGGAGCTGAGCTCCAGACATTCCTAAGCCTCCTTCAGATGGTTCTGTCCTCAGGTACCCTCACTTCTCTTATGAGTAGCCTGTGTCTGTGTTGCAGGGGCGTGCAGTCTTTGCCAGCGGCAGTCCTTTTGATCCAGTCACTCTCCCAGATGGACGGACTCTGTTTCCTGGCCAAGGCAACAATTCCTACGTGTTCCCTGGAGTTGCTCTTGGGGTAGTGGCCTGTGGACTGAGACACATCACTGATACTGTCTTCCTCACCACTGCTGAGGTACTGTAAGGAGCTGGTGCATGCCAAGGCTGGATTTGCTCAGCTCAGGGTTGTATTTATTTAGTGTCACAGCTGTCTGTCAAGTGTGAAGAATGCTAAATAGACATTAGGAATGGGCAGCAGGTTTTTACATATCAGTAGTGAGATTCTTCCTTAGTAGTGACTAGGTTTCACTTTAAAGGAGGAATCTTTTATTTACCTTTTCCTACTGAGGAACTTTTAGGACATCAGTGACAGAACTAAAAGTATTTTTTTTCCAAATGTTGGTAAGTAACATTTCTCCATTGTGAGCCTTTCTAAATAATGGCATTTTGAAGTCTGACACAGTATAGTAGAAGTGTCTGTTGTTGCCTTTTCAGAACAGAAAATAAAAGCTACACTAGTTTTGAAGCAGAAATGAGATTAAAACAGGGCATTGTATGTTCATGCGATCACTGAAGGGGCTGGTGAGGTGGTTCAGTGGGTAGAAGCACTGACTGCCTGTACTGAGGAGCTGAATTCAGTGCTCAGAACTTACATAGTATAGAAGAAAAATCTCTCGCAGCTTCGTCTCTGATTTCCACATGTGTATCATGCCACGCATGTGCCACTCCCCATAAATAAATAAAAATGCAATGAGGATTTTTTAGGAACCCACTGATAGATGTCAGCTCTTGAATAGGATTTCAGGAAAGTCCCTCAGGATGTCACAGAGCCCACCTGCCTGGCAGTCGTGTACAGTTGAGAACTGATTTTACCCAGCTGCAGGGTAACAGATTAGCCACAGTTCCATAGACACTGGTGGAAAGAACACGAAGCTCCAGCTCAGAGACAAAGAGTCATTATTCCTGGTGTAGAAGATCCCATGAGCTTACAGTTGTCCGTTCCCTTTGCATCCAAGCCTCAGCAGCACGGTGGCTGTGGTGGGCATAGATCTGTAACCACGGGCTGACAACTAGCATGCTGATCCTGTTGTAACTGTGTTCCAGATTTGGGGCAGAATACAATCTATCAGCTAGAATTGTCAATTTCTTCTCAACAAATTAAACACTGTCTAACATAATAGCTGAATTGAGGTAAATAAAACCTGACTGCATTTTCCAGCAAACATGCTGTGCTTTGCACTGTGGAGAGGAATCCCCAAAACAGGAGCAGATTCCAGAGTCAGCAGTGTGATCTAAGAGCACAGCCTGGGTAGCTCCTGCCTCTCCCTGGGATAGATGCCTGTAGTGTTCTTCAGGCATTTTCTTTGCAGTGCTAAAAGTATGACAGTTGATGTGTCTGGCTTGTTTCCCTTTAGTTCAAAAACCATTGACAAATTCAATATATATCATTACTAAGAGCATTTTAAGGTTTTTACATAAAGAAAAGTACAACCATTTCTTTTAGGAAAAGAATTAGGATCTTAATTCTTTAGCCCATGTTTTCTTCCTTTAACTCTAGCACCCTCTAGTGACAATGTCAAGTAAATATGGTTTATTTCTTATTTCACAAATGGCAGTTAACGATCACTGCCAAAGGCTCATGGGCTTTAATCTCAGCTCTCTGGAGGCAGGACCAAGTGGATCTCTGTGGATTCAAGAAGAGTCTGGTGTACATAGCAAGTTTCATGTCACCCAGAATTACATGGTGACACCCAGACCTCCCCACTAGGTGTGGTGGCTCATGCATGCTTGTAATCTCGGCATTTTCGGTGATGGGTCTAGATGTAGGCTTTCAAGGTTAAGGCCAGTCTTTCCCCCCCCCCCCATGGGTTTACTGTTTATTCAGTGTTAAATGTTACAGAGTTCTTACACTGTCAGAACCATGCCTGAGAACCCAAAGAAAGAAATGGTTACAATGGACAGCCTCATCCACCCAGACAGTATATTCAAACTTGATTCATATGCATTTTGATAATTTCACAATCTTAAAAAATTATGACAAGACTTGGAATTTACATCTGCTTCAGGTCTTCAGCGTTCCAGTACAGTATGCCATTAAACACACCTCATCATGTCTCTGTTCACTTCTTAAACCCTAACCCCAAACAGAATATGTGTGTGTGTGTGTGTGTGTGTGTGTGTGTGTGTGTGTGTGTGTGTGT